AATGACAACACGGTGACTTGTGTGGTTATCAGCGGCCAGTTTGTGAGGGTGCGACAGGGTTGCCAGATTGTGTATTAATATCCCGTGTTACCCTCCTGGTCCCAGTGGAGTAAGTTCCGCCAACTGTTGAAATATACTCTACTATGCTTTATAAGACTATTCGTGACATTTTTCCCAAAATCATTGCACAACACTTGGAAAAATGCAAATGAAGATTTAAAATTATTTCCATGACGCCGCAATATAGCTCCGTCGGTACCTTGGGTTATACATCTTGACAGTAGGGATGTTCGATACGATCCTATATTTAGAAGTATCAATACATTTCACGAGTATCGTCATCTTTCGATCCGGACTGTGTCAGAAAGAGTCACTGCCATTTGGCTGCGACATTACCCTGCCAAATCAGACATCTGTCATCATTTTCAAAGAAATTGTACAAAAGTTCTGCCGTGATATTCATCCCGACCACTGCATCCCCACGGCTAGGCGACCTGTATGTTAAATTTGTATTGATATCCATTCCGGATTGAACACTCTACCAAAGATGCTTATAATCATGATACCTAGTAAATTTTCACGAAAAAAATTCAAATCCAGCAAATGTAAAAGATTCATTTCGCACCCTCCACCACGGGACGTGATCGTCGTTAGACTTGGCAACCCTGCGAGTGACAGATAGATATCCCCGCCAGTCAAGAAATAAAAATTGACAAACAATAAACATTGCTAGTTTTTTTGATTTTTGGACTTAAAAGCCATTATTTGTGAAACATCTTTCATAATTTTTTGTCTATGTCCATAGTAATTGCATTATGCATCAGGGAGATGTAGGGATTGACACGTCTTACACATAATATCTGTGTTTTAGGATGGAGAGGACATAATGTTTTTATTGCTTTGAAGAAACTCATTATCCCATAAATTAATAAATGATTACTATTATTATTTGGCGCATTCACATTCGCTGAGGGGGATAACGGATTGTTAAATGTAAACCTATAACATATATCAAAATACATGAAAGTTGTCCTGTTTTTTCTGTACAAAAGCATCATGTTGGAATCAAAAAGTGGTCTTGGTTATAATACAGTCGAATTTTCACTATTTTATTCAATATATCAATAGAAATCACTAATATTCTTCTGTCAAATTGCATTTCGATAAGGTATTTTCCAATTGGTCCATAATATTAATGTTGGTGAAATCGGCCCTAAGTCGTGTATTCGGATTGAAGAACTTAATTGCTCTAAGCGAACAAAGCAACGGTGAAGCTTTAAATGAAATTATTATATTACGAAATGATTCTTAAGACTAACCGAACTAAAAAGTAAAAAATAATTTTTAATTATAAAGATTTAATATTACAGCAGTAGATGGTCGAGCAATCAATCATAATTGATGACCTCAAAATAAAATTATAATAAAATTTAATATTAACAGAATAATTCAAGCGTGGGGTGCAGTTTCCTACATTTTCATAACTCTTCTCTTATAGATAGTTGCCAAAAGAATAATTGTAACATTTAATATTTACTCTAAATTATTCTGTTAATAATTTGAATTTTATTATAATTTTATTTCATTAATTATGATTGATTGTTCAACCATCCACTACTGTAGTATAAGCTCTTTGTAATTAAAAATTATTTTCTGCTTTTTAATTCGGTTAGCTATAAAAGCGTGTTTTTTTTAAATTATTTATTTGTAAACCAGTACCACCTTTCCATTCTTCATAATTTCTGGATATTTCCGTATGCAAAAAAAACAAATTAATTATACATACTAATATGTATATAACGCCTATTTCAAGAGAAATCCATTAGCAAAGTCTTGGACAGGAGTTTCAATAGGAGTACAAGATACCACAAGTTTTCGTTATAATATAAATTAAAAACAATTAAAACTTTTGTATGGTTCTATTGGCCGGTTACCTAAAGCAGAATTAGAATCATCTTATAACACGAATTACTCTGAGCATTTCTTTCCGCACCTGGACCTTACCAGCTTTTACGCAGCAATCGACAGCAATCTGCATCTCCTCTTTCGGCTACTGGGACCGGAATACGCGCTGCTTACATCAGTATATACCGATGCATTCATATTGATTATCTTCCGAAGAATTCCGACCAGTCATGGATCTGCTATAAATTGCAATTACTAGATGGAGATGGCTAAAGGTGCTGCGTGAGATAGGTAGAATTATGTTGTTGGATTTTTTACACCGAATCAACCGCGCAGGCAGAAGCCTAAATACCGGGGCTCCGTGGCTCCTAACAGGAGCTTAAAGAGACATTTTTTAATCCGATTCTTGAGCTGCCTAAGGCTGGTAGCATTAAACGAGCATTAAACTGTTAAAATTCAAATCATGACTTTTCAACCATCAATTTTAGCTTTAATTGCTAACAACCATATTGCGTATCACTTGGCGCACATGCTGTCCTTTACACAAAACACTATGCGCATTTATAGGGCTTGGTCCTCCCCAATAAAATTGCGGAACATCAGCTTTAAGGTTTCCGAGTTTATGTATGTAAATGTCGTTGACACTTTTTTCCACCTCTGGCCCCATTCTCTTAATTCCTTCGACGACCATCATCTTAGTCGAGATGCATTTGGAAAACAGGGCAAACTTAATTGCTGGAGTTTTATGTAAAAGACCTAAAAAAAAACGTCAAAAAACTTACAAAATGTCACTTTTCAAGATACGTAATACCCGTGCTGACCAAACTGATAGTTGCAGATAAAATGGAGTGATTTTATATAACTGGCAATCTTTATACAGGGTGACGCATCGAAAACGAAACAGACGCATTTACTGGCAGCTCAGTTTTTTTTTGAAAAACGCTCACACGCGTCGATTTTGTTTTCTAGGGGGCACAAGTTTGGCAAAAAATCACGTTAGCACGTGCAGCCCCCTAAGCGGGGGTGATACCACCCCCAAAATCTTAAATGGAATGGGGGGTCGAGTGATACCTTATTTTAAAGGTCTTTCAATTCCCTTTATAATGATATAAAATTAATGTACTTCAGTTCAGAAGTTTTGGAGATTTATTGATTTAAAGCTTAAATAAAACTAATACACCATCATTAGTGGATATCAATACATTTGGCAGCAAAGTAATTTAAAAATGAAGAATGAACTGACCCGTTAGGCAAGTAAATGTTGAAAATGGCCACCATGACTCTCCATGCAATAATAAAGATTTTGCTCAAAACGTTGCCGTACATTTAGCAATATTTGAGGAGTAATTTGAAGGCACTCATTCACAATTCTTTATCGCAGGTCTTCTAATGATGTTGGCTGAGTACCATAGATTTTGCTTTTTAAATGACCCCACATAAAGAAATCCAAAGCTGATAAATCTGGCTGTCTTGGGGGCCATTCAATGGCACCTCTTCTACCAATCCATCGATCTGGAAACCTCTGATCTAAATATTGTCGAACACGTAATGCGTAATGTGGTGAACATCAACCTAATCGCAATGTACCGCCGATCATTCTGATTTTCAATTACGGCTGTTAATGCAGGATCTATGGCGTCTTCCAGTAATTGCAAATACATTTCACCGGTCAAATTTCCAGGTAAGAAAAAAGGACCAACTAAATGACCGCCAAAAATACCAGCCCAAACATTTAATTTTTGTGGATGCTGTGTATGAACCTCATGATAAATTCTGGAATTAGAATCGGAACAATATCGGCAGTTATGACGATTTACTACGCCATTTAAGAAAAAGGAACATTCGTCGGAAAAGCAAGTATTGAATAGAAAATGTTCATCGTTTATAATTCGTTCATTCATATCTTCACAAAATTGTAATCGCAGATCAAAATCGTTTTCATTAAGTTCTTGTACCAGGTAAATTTTATACGGATGAAAACTACGGGCCTTTAGAATCCGTTGGATAGTACGTCGACTAACACCACACACAGTCTCCAATTTGCGGGTACTTAACGTAGGATCTACATAAACTTGTCCTAAAACCCCCACTTCAATTGCTTCGTTCCTTATGGGATTTTCAATGTTGCGTTTTTTATTGGCGACTGACCAAGTTTCCCGAAATTTAGCTACTAGTTCTAGAACATATTTTCGATGCACGTTACTGTTCTCATATCGCTTATTAAATATGTCTGCTGTTCTATTACCGCACTGATTATTTCCGAAAAATATTCAACTCTTTCTGTTGCGGAATATACCATGGTTAATTCATGTGATAAAGCGTTACAAGTTATTTTAGTTTAGTGAAATCAATCGCAAACTATGTTCTAAATTCCTATTTAAAATATGTACGAGATATTTCCTTATCTTTCTTGAAGAAATAACTTTTTTGCCACAAACAAACGCTCCAATAGCTATTTTGAACAACAAAATGTTAAACAAACTATGGGCGTAGTGAAGGAAAGCATTTACTTATTGAGTAAATTCTTTAAGTCAAATTTCTTCTGAAAGTAGTACAAACTAGTCTGATGTACCTACTAAAGTCTACTTTAAGCTTTAAATTAATAAATCTTCAAAACTACTAAACTGAAGCTCATGAATTTCACATCATTATAGGGTAAACCGAGGAAAGATGGCCATATTTTTAACAAAAAATATAATATTTTAGGGTAGGGCATGGTAATTATTATTTGTTGCTCTGTGCAAATTTATTATAAATATGGTTTTTCATTTTGTTGATAAATATCGGTATTTTTCATATGTGGGCCATCTCTCCATTAGTGTTTAGTAGAGATGGCCATATCATAGAAGGTAAGATGGCCATATAAAATTCAAAGAAAATAATGAGTTTTATAAGAATACTCGTGAAATACCTATGAGACTTTATTATCACATATAACAGAAAAAAAACTAAAAACTCAATAGCCAATCCTTTTGCCAAAAAAGTAACTTACATTAAAAAACTAACTAACTTAAATTTAACTAAAACTACTTTTGATCCTTTTACTGCCAAAACTTCCCCCGATCTGGTATTTAGTTGCAATCCACCCTCGTCCATATTAAAAATATTTTTCGGGTTTATCAAGATATTGTTTTCTTCCAGAACACTCGGCAGTACTTTAAAGTTATCAACTACTACCTTTCTAGACATTGCTGTGCACCTCGTCAACGACAAACTTTCTGCTTTTCTAACTGATATTTGTGGATCTCTGGTGAGAAATGAATGCAGCCAAACTTAACCAGCTTTCTGAAGCCGATTATTAAATTTATGTTTTAAGCCCAGCTGAACAGCAAATTTATAAGCTATGGTTAGCAAATCATCTCTAGTAAGTGGAGATCCACTTTTTGCATTTCTTTAATATGCCGAACCAGTCTGTTTTCATATGCAGCTCCGAAAGTAGTATCTGGACCCAATTTTTTCTTATGGTCTTCATTCTTTTGCCTTTCCAATGTCTTTCTCGGAATACCGTAAGCTTTTCCAGCCTGACGTACAGATAATCCCTCATCTTTAACAGTACTCATTGCAGATTTCAGTTGCTCCTCGGTCCATTTGGCCCTCTCCAATGATTTTCTTTTATAAATATTTGGCATCTAAAATAAATACAAATGATCTACGATGGTCATCATACATAGGAAATAAGTGGGCCATCTCTCATTTTCTTCGAGGAAAGATGGCCATAGCATGATTTAGATTTTATATACGTTAATTCGCGTAAAACGCTTAGGCAACATAAAACACACCACACATGGTAAAATAAACACCAGACGGATTGTTAAAAACTAATAAAATTTTATGTAATTTGACTAGTGGAAAATTGTATTCAAAACCTATTGAACCCATGTAAACAGTAATTTTAAAATAACTTACCTTTAAACTTAGTAAATTGACTCAGAGTTTCTAGTATAGCACGATCACACAACAGTACATTACGCCTTATTGAAAAAAACGCCCTCTAATAACTATTTAGGAAAATATCGAGTTGGGCCATCTCTCCTCTATGGCCATATAACCTCGATTTACCCTAAAGGGAATTGAAAGACCTTTAAAATAAGGTATCACTCGACCCCCTTTCCAGGTAAGATTTTAGGGTAGGTGTCACCCCCGCCCAGGGGGATGCACGTGTTAACGTGATTTTTGCCAAACTTGTGTCCCCCTCGAAAACAAAATCTGAGCGTTTTTCCAAAAAAATACGCCACCCTGTATATATCCTTAACGAATTATTGGATATTGTCATTGTACCAATTTTCTATTGCAGGAAACATCTTTTTATATAAATTTATTCTCCAGATTGTAAGGCACAGACCAATGGCAGTCATTGCATGCTTCTTTATGAAGCAAGCCTGGCTCAACGAGACGCAAGACCTTATTATTATGCGGTGTGTAGCAGCTGTATTTATTTTTCCTCCAAATAAAATAATAAAACTACCGTTCGCTCTACTTAAGATACAAATTTTGCATATCTTATTCACACAGGAGGTAAGTAATACTCCGAGATCCCACAAAACGTTTATTCGTCCTAGAAGCACAAAGCACATAAGACTGAAGAAGTGAGTGCACGTTAAACGATGGCAACACGTTGACGTTTGTCAGATGGTTGCACCGCCCACTTGCCCGGAGGAGGAACTATCGAAAGAGAGCCGAGAATGCGCCTGGAGTAAGGAATGCTAGAAATGTGCCGGGAATTTCATCTATTCATAATTTGAAATCTACTGAAAATGATATTTCCGATATTCAAGGATTACTCCAAGAACATGTATTCATAAAATATCCCCAATAAGGGTTATATCCCTTTCAGCAGTTTTGCTGAGAACAAGGTTTAGAATAATAACACTGGTCAACAGCCAAAAAATATCCTAAATAAAATCAACAAAATATTACTATTTTTAATGTGCTAAAACCGGAATGAAACTTATTTTTTCAATATTAGTTCAAGTTTTAGAGATAGGGTAATTATATGTGTTCCTGCTGTGACAGTGCTAATATACTGTAATTCACAAGAATGCACGTGCTACATTTTTATATTCGGCTAGGAAAGATGATGTAATCGGCATGATTGTGTTACGTTATACATACGTGTACATTATATTGTTTTATATTGGCCATTTTTTCCTCAGTTGGCTGACAGCGTTCATGCAAGATGTCTCGAAAGTGTGTAAACAATCCAGATCAGTTTTATTACGTGTGTGGTGATGTGACTTTTGCGTCTCAGAAACGGTTTATTACTCCACTAATAACAAAGGCATATCAGCTTTATTTCGGTTGTAAGCTAGGTGATCAAGACAAACAGTGGGCACCCCACATCTGCTGTAATACATGTGCTTCAAGTCTGAGGAGCTGGTTAAATGGCAAAAAACGGTCTATGCGCTTTGCTGTCCTTATGGTTTGGAGAGAGCCTACAAATCATATTAATGATTGTTACTTTTGCATGGTACCTTGTGTTGGACAAGCGACAGGTATGTCCAAGAAAAAAAAATCGGTTATTAACTACCCAAACATACTATCTGCGATGAGACCTGTGCCTCACAGTGACGAAAATCCTATTCCAAAACCCCCAGAATCCTACACTTGCGAATCAGAAAACGAATCAGATCATGGCGATCGAGTGATTCGTCAGGAAGAAGATATGCCAACAACGTCAAGAGATCCTGATTTTATACCGCACAAAATAACACAGTTAGAATTAAATGATTTTGTAAGAGATTTAGAACTTCCAAAATGTAAGGCAGAGTTACTTGGACCAAGACTGCAGCAGTGGAACTTGTTAGAAGACGATGTTTCGGTATGTGTTTTTCGTAAACGCCACAAAGACTTAGAACCAGTTTTCAATATGGAGAATAACTTGGGTTTCTGCAGTAACATTAACGACTTACTGGCGGCTTTAAATATAAACTATAACCCAGAAGAATGGAGATTGTTTATAGACAGTTCAACATTGAGTTTAAAGGCAGTGTTATTGCATATTGGAAATATTTTACCATCTCTTCCTGTAGGGTATGCAGTTCACATGAAAGAATCATATGACAATATGAAGTACCTATTGACATGCATGAAATACGATGAGCACCAATGGCATATTTGTGGCGATTTGAAAGTTGTTGCACTTTTACTTGGGCTGCAGCTAGGCTACACAAAGTTTTGCTGTTTTTTGTGTGAATGGAACAGTCGGGCAAAGGCACTTCATTACACCAGACAAAACTGGCCTGTTCGTCAATTCCTAGAGCCAGGTCAAAAAAATGTACAGCATATGCCATTAGTAGATTCGAAAAAAATTTTATTACCACTACTGCATATCAAGTTGGGCCTAATGAAAAACTTTGTCAAGGCATTAGATAGAGATGGGTCAGCTTTTCAATACCTGCGTCAGAAATTTCCAAGACTAAGTGAGGCAAAGGTTAAAGAAGGTATTTTTGTTGGGCCACAGATTCGAAATATTTTGAAAGATACACAGTTTGAAAACACTTTAACAGATATTGAAAAAACTGCTTGGAATGATTTTCGTCTGGTGGTCACTAATTTCTTGGGAAATAGAAAAGCTGACAACTATAAAACCCTTGTCAAAAATATGCTGTCATCGTATCAAAAGATACATTTCCTACACTCACACCTGGACTTTTTTCCTGACAATTGCGGAACCGTAAGTGATGAGCACGGCGAACGTTTTCATCAGGATATTTCAACAATGGAAAAAAGGTACCAGGGAAAGTGGAATCCTTCCATGCTTGCAGACTACTGTTGGACTCTTGGTAGAGATGCTCCAAAAACGATCCATAAAAGAACAGCAAAAAGACAGCGCATATAGTGATTCTTATATATGGATCTTGTTACTTTTTTTAATATATCCTTAAAAATAAAAAGTTTTTTTTCTAAACCGCAACTAATTTTTTTATTTCATTGTCATTTTTGGATTCAGCGCCCCAAAATTAACAAAGAAGTGCACTTTTCCCACAAGATACAATTAAAAAACTAAAATTTGTTGTCCAGTGTAATAAAGCACAAAATATATTTTTAGTTTCAAAAAATAATCGTATGGTATAAAATTGTTACATGAAAATACAGATAGATTTAATCCAAATTCATGGTGTGTGTTGCAAAACAGAGGCGTCTCAATTCATTGAATTGCTTCTTGATAACTCTGAAACAATGCATAAGATAGTAATGTAATTCATGATAAGTTAGTAACTTTCAAGTAGTTTGCTCAGTCCTTTAATTTTTTAGCTTAGTTTATCAGAATTTTGCTTTATGAAGCTTACGGCTTTGTGACCGTACTCTGCCGATATTACGATGTCTAATTTAATAGAAAAAAACTTTCGTACTTTATACAGGGTCCGTCAGAAAGAACGCATGTTTTTCGAATGGGTGCTAAATCGAGTGGGCTGGTCCCGTGTCGGTGGGGAAGGGCGTGTTGGATAGTGGGAGAAGTGCCGTTTCAGTTGGCAAGATGGTTTGGAACGTTGAGCATCGTGCGTTCACTGTACGTCGGTACTTTTAAAACGGCGAGTCTGTCAGAGGATTATGCACAACGTGTTAATTTCGCACAGCTCATGATTGAACAGTTGGATAACAATGACATGACGTTGTTTATGAGTGATGAAGCACATTTTCATTTACATGGATACGTCAATAAACAAAATTGTCGATATTGGTCACCAGTGAACCGCCAACAGTTGCATGAGCACCCCCTGCATACCCCGGAGGTTACAGTATGGTACGCAGTAGGGGCCCAACGATGATTATTGGCTCTTATTTTTTTGAGGATGATGGAGAAACGACTACTGTCAAATCAGAGCGTTACATCCACATGCTGAACAACTTTTTTGCCGGAACTTCGACGTTGACGTGTCCGTCTCAGAATAGTGTGATTCCAACAAGACGGGGCAACATCTCACACAGCTCGCACTCGATGAAACTTCTTCGGCAAAATTTCCGCGGACGTCTCATTTCACGTCATGGCGATATTCCATGGCCCCTTCGCTCCCCGGACCTGTCAACGTGTGCTTTTTTATAGGGCTACCAGAAATCAAAAGTATACCAAAGCAAGCCTCGCACCCTCGTCGATTTGAAGGAAGGAATAAGAAGAGAAATTTTACTCAAAAAAATGGCATGTATTTCTGAGTATTTTGATAGAATAGAATATTCTTCCCATACTTATTTTGACTGTACTACTCATTTAAAAAACATGCGTTCTTCCTGACGGACCCTGTATAACGGTGCCAACTACAACGATATTAAAGAGGCAATTTTAAATAATCTACCAACTACGTCATGCTGATATATCAAGTTCACAGCCTATCTGTATCACTCTATGACTTCCACAACAGTCACAATACATCTCACGTATACCATGAGCTTTATATTTCATACACATTTTTAACGAAATATCTCCGAAGGCATCAGCGCCAACCAAAACAAACGCCATACTTGATATTTTTACATTCAGATAAAGATAGAGAATCCCTGTCAGCAGCACGTCACGTGATGCCGGTAATGCAGTTTCCTCGATTTTGCCTGGAGAGGATGACCTTGGTGTTGCCAGTTCGCCCATAAGACGTTTCACCCCGCTACCTAGGATTATCTATTATTTATTATTTTTTATACATAGCCACTTGATACAGTTTCTCATATGTGGTAAAAAATATAAGACCGAACAAAATCAATAAAAATCTAATAATAAATTTACGAATGAATGAATATTGATATCATCTGTATGTGCTCAAGTGCAATTGTAAGTATACTTTATCTGAAGTCACTTGAAATAGCATAAAAACCTTTGGTCGGCGCGTCCTTTGTAATTTCATGACGTATCATAGGCGTGCGGTCATTTATTTAGAACGATAATAATAATGTTTTTATATCACAATAAATGGATTTTACTATATTATTATTTTTTTGATTTGGGATAAAAAATACTTATATTGGGAGTTTAATTTATGTTGACTGAAAGTTAAGAAATGGAAAAATTACAGAATTCCAACGTTTGACATAGGCAAATATTTACATAGCAGGTAGGTATATAAAAAGGTATATAAAGACTTACATTATAGGTATTTATATATCATCCTCGGCTTCGGAGCT